TCGGGCTGGCAGGCAGTAGTGGTTAGGGGCAGTCGGGCAGGCAGGGAGGCAAATGGTTGAGGAGCCAGCGGTCCTGATTGTGAGAGGGATGTCCGACTGCCCACAGGGATCGGGCCTAAACTAGCAGTCGGACATCCCCCAAGGGATCCCAGATTGGAGATGGTGCAGGCTGGGCTGAGGGACACTCTGCCTCCCGCCCATGCATGAATTTCGTGCACCAGGCCACTAGTATATTATATATGTATATGATATATTATGTCATATACTACATCTCTATCTATGATATAGTATATTACCCAGTGCATGAATTTTGTGCACCAGGTCTCTAGGATAAAATAATATTGTCAACTGTAATTGGAAAAAAACAACCTGTTAGGTACTGGGGGATACAAAAGCAAGACAGATCCTAAATTTGCTAAATATTGGATGAGGTATTGTACTTGCTATGTGCCACGCTATGTAATATATATGTACATAACTATATATATATATGTATGTGTGTGTATGTATGTATATATTACAATATATGTTATAAATATGGGGATAAGAAGAGTACTTACAGTATAGGGCTCTTGCAATGTATATTATACACATATATTATATATGTACCTGATATAATATGTCATATACTACATCTCTGTCTATGATATAGTATATTTCATAGTATACACTTCATGGAAAGAGAGAAGAATGATCCCCAGTGTTCAACATCCTTTCCGTCCACGTGCTTATTGAGTATCTGTCATAGGCCAGGCACCAGGTGCTGGGGATAGAGCAGTGAATGAGAAAGCAAGACCTTTGTCCTCACAGAGCTGAGAATTCCGTGGGGAGAGACAGACACCGTAAACAAGTTAAAAACAAACAAACGCGGCGTTTTCAGATATGGGCAAGCGACATGAAGGAAATGCAATAGAGCCATGGGAGCGAGGATAAAGAACCATCAGCAGGACAACGGACCGGAAATTCTGTTTCTTTGTTATGGGGTGGGGCCACAACGGCAGCAGCAGGCAAGCAAGCTACCAAGGAACAGGGTGTAAGAGTGAACACCTCCTGCCAACCCAGAACCTCTTGGGTGGGGCCACAACATTAGTAACAAAGAAGCAGAATTTCCGGAGGATGAGGCCCAGAAATCAGGATTTTAAAAAGATTCCCAGGTGGGCCAGGTGAAAAGGAGGGCACTTGCTAAGAGGTGAAGGAGAAGCTAGAACAGGGATATGGAGAGGGGTAAGGCATTCCCACTCTCAGAGGCAGCAGCTTTCACCACTGAGGGCAGGGGAGGCCCAGGAGTGACCGCCGGGTGCTCCCACAGCTTACTGGAATGCCACCCGGGCCTTCATGATCCTGTCCTCCCTGTGTGCCACCTCCGGCATTATCATGGGCATCCTGGCCTTCGCTCAGCAGCCCACCTTCACCCGCCTCTCCCGGCCTTTTTCCACTGGCATCATGTTTTTCGCCTCCGGTGAGTGGACCCGCCCTACTCTCTCCCTCTCCCTCCTCCCTGCCTCTCTCCAACCCCAACCCATCCCCACCCCCAACACTACTCTCATCCCAGACTCCTCACTCTCAACCCCACCCCCACCCTCATCCCAACCCCACAACCAACACCAACACCCAGGCCGTGTCCATTTCCACCTATTCGGACATTGCAATTCAGTTCTGGCATTAGCGTCAGATTCCATAGGTGTCTCCCCAGCAAGACTGCCCCAACTTCAGCTACAAGTGGGGTCCCCCAAGCCACCTGCGTTTTTGACCAACTGGCTACAGATTTGAGGGTTCCCAGGACCCACTCAGGTTTGAACGTTTTTGTTAGAACAACTCACCAAACTCAGAAAAGCACTGTACTTAACAATGACAGTTTTATTATAAAGGGGTGGGGAACGTTCGGCCCGCGGGTCACACGTATCAGGCCCCCGAAATCATTAGGTCTGGCCCTGCCCAGGCATTAGGGGTGAGTTAATCATGTGCTTGAGCAAATACAGCAGGCTAATTTTTTTAAGTTGATCATTTTGTATGGCCTGCGAATGATGTTATACGTATCCAAATGGCCCTTGCCAGAAAACAGGTTCCCCACCCCTGTTATAAAGGATCAACTCAAGACCAGCCAAATAAACAGACGCAGAAGGAGACGCCTGAGAGGGACCGGCACCCTCCCCCCACACCCGCCACCCCACACCCCCCACACACACCCATGTGTTCAGCAACCAGGAAGCTCCCAGCACTTGGCATCCAGTGACTGAATCACTGGACATGTGATTGGACTCAACCTCCTCCCCCTCCCCTCCCCCGAGGGGCTGACATCAACCAGCTCAAAGCCTCAACTTTCCGTTCTGGTTGGTGGCTGGTCTCTCTGGCGACCAGCTTCCTTCCTGAGTCATCATCTCAGCTCAACAACAGGTGTGATCCCAGAGGCTTAACAATGGCAAAGACACTCATAACTCAGGAAGTTCCAAGGACGTGGAGTCCTCCCAGGAACCACAGACAAAGACCAGTCAGATTCTCTAGGACATGGCACGGCCCTGCCCCATCTCCACCCCAGCCCCACCCCTCCCAGTCCACCTGCCCTCCCCAGTTCAGCTCAGCCCTGTCCTCACCAGACCTCCACCCCCATCTCCAAGCCCAACTTCATCCCAGTTTCCACCCCGCCCTCCTTCCCCAGCTGTTTTTGTCCTGTTGGCCTTGGCCATTTACACCGGAGTCACCGTCAGCTTCTTCGGCCGCCGTTTCGGGGACTGGCGCTTTTCCTGGTCTTACATCCTGGGCTGGGTGGCCCTGCTCATGACCTTCTTTGCAGGTACCTGGGCTTGGGGGTGGGGAGGGCGGTGTCTGGGATGAGCAAGCATACTCCCCAGGGCGAGATGATAGGGTGTCTCCCATGGGCTCCCAGCACCCAGGCAGAAGGCAGACTCCAGATTCTGTGGACACCCAGGGGGCTTGAGAGGCGGTGTGTGTGGCAGGGGTGGGGGTGGGGGGCGGGGGCATAGTGTCCATTGGGACCTTTTCTCGCACAGGAATTTTCTACATGTGTGCCTACCGGATGGATGAATGTCGGCGCCAGTCCACTCCCCGCTGAGCCCAGGGGCATCCACCAACTTCATCGGGAAGCTAAAATGAGGTCACTGAAGAGGAGGGGGAGGGTCTAGAGGTCTGAAATCCTGGTTCCTGGGGGCATAAGGGGGCTCGGTCCTGGACTCTGGGTGGGGGCCCCTGACCCCTGAGTCCCACGTGGAAGGAGAAAAAAATGGGGCCTGGTGGGAGGGACCTGAGAAGACTCA